GATTGACAGCCTTGGAAACCCTGTGGGCAGTTCCACTCTGTTGGTATGAGTCGGAATCGACTCGTACCAGTGGGTTCCCTTTTTAAAGTCCTTACTGAGTCACCCCACTCCTCTTTTCTCTGAAATATTTTTTTCATTTAATTGTCTCAGTAAGCCTATAAGTTAGATAGTATTACTCACTTTATAAATGTCACAGCTCTGGTAGCATAGTGCCTAAGGCATGTGACTGCTCATCAGAAGGCCGGCGGTTCAAACCCACCAGCCACTCCTTGGAAGGAAGACTGGGCAATCTACTTCTGTAGAGATACCTCCTCAGAAACCCAATGTGGGGTTGCTATGCATCGGAACCGACCTGACGGCAGTGAGTCTGGTTTTATTTTCTTTGGAGGCTCAGAGAAGTTAAAGGAATTTGTGTGCAAGTTCACATAGTTGGTAAGTGACAGAGGAGGTATGCAAACTAATGTCTCCCTGAGATCGAAGCCCAGTGTTACATCTGCTGTGGTATTCTGCTTCAGAAGAATTCAGAAGGAATGTAAACAGAATGTAGAATTTTGAATGTTTGATGTAGGCATTTCAGCCATTGTTGTAGATGTAAAATTGATTGGTGTTTTCAGCTTGACTTGTCATCTATGAAATAGAAAGAAGCCCATGGAAATTTGACTGGAGAAGTGTTTAAGGTTGGTTGTTAATGAACTTTGGTGTGACCCTGCCTGTGAATTTACCCAGCTTGCCACCATTCATTATGATATGAATATCTAGTTCTCTGGAACATAAGAAGACCCTGAAATAATATGAGACTAATAATACAACCAGCCATGCCTCAGAAGGAAGACTGGTCAATCTACTTCCTTAGAGATGCAGCCTCGGAAACCCAAGGAGGGGTCTCTATGAGTTGGGTCTGACTCGATGGCTGTGAGTTTTTAATACTGTAAGTTAGAAAAGGAGCTCTGGTGGTGTAGTGGATAAAGCATTGGCTGCTAACCAGAAGGTCAGCGGTTCAAACCCACCAGTCACTCTGAGGAAGGAAGACAGGACAGTCTACTTCCGTAAAGATATACAGCCTCAGAAACCTAAGGGGATTGTTCTGAGTTGGAATCAACTTGATGGCAGTGAGTTGAATAACATAAGCTATTAGTCTTGACTCTGATCAAACCAAACCAAAGAACAGAGCAGAATCGCTCCTTAGTGAATGCATGCTTAATGTCTGCCCCGCATTTTTCTCATTTATGAGTATGGAGCAGTTAATCGCTCACAAACACATCTTTTTGTGTGTGACTGTTTCCCCTGTTGAAAGCAAACCAGGTTTACTTTCTTGGGTTACAAATCTGTGCAGTGTCTTCTGTTTTTAAGAAAGCCGAACCTAGCCCTGCTGGAATATGGCTTGAGCGGGTCAGGCGTCCTCAGTCTTTTTGTCTGCATCAATACGGAACTTCAGCACTCTGTCCTGGGGAAAGTTCACCTACATGGTACTTAGCACGCCACCCTTTCCGCGATTCTGTCTGTGTTCCGGAAGCATTCCACGTCAGACAGCACATGAGTTTCCCTTTCATTTAATGATGCATTTTTCTTGGCCATATTGTTTACAGTGTGGTATGTGCTCTTGAGATGTACTGTGATTGTTTTGGTTAGATTGTCTCTCATGCTGAGCATGGAGTCCAGGCATTACATTTTGAAAATACTGTGTGATTATCTGTGGAGCTCTGGTGGCTCAGTGCCTGAGGCATTTGACTGCTAACCAGAAAGTTGGGGGTTCACATCCACCGGCCACTCTGTGAAAGGAAGACGGGGCAATCTACTTCCGTAAAGATTTACTGCCTCGGAAACCCAAGGGGGGTCGCTCTGAGTTGGAATTGACTTAGTGGCACTGAGTTTGGTTTTGGGTGTGTGATTGTCTACCTACCTATAGGAGCTCTGGTGGCACAGTGCCTAAGCATCTGCCTGTTAACCAGAAGGTTGGCGGTTCAAACCCACCAGCCACTCTGTGGAAGGAAGATGAGGCCATCTACTTCCATAAAGATTCATTGCTTCGGAAACCCACTAGGGGTCGTTGTGAGTTGGAATCGACTTGATGGTAGTGAATTTGTTTTTTGTTTTTGTTCATTGGAGCTCTGGTGGTTTAGCGGTTAGGGCATTTGGCTATTACTCAAAAGGTCGGTGGTTCGAACCCACCAGTCGCTCTGCAGAAGATAGACAAGGCAGTGTGCTTCAGTAAAGATTTACAGCCTTGGAACACCAGTGGGGGTCGCTATGAGTGAGAATCGAGTCGATGGTTGTGAGTTTGCTTTTTGGTTATGGCTTTATAGATTGTTGTCAAAGCTTGGATAGTTTTACAGGATTTATTACTTAGTAATTGCTCAATAGTTTCTGATTTTTTTTTTTAAACGATGAGTAAAATGATACATAACAGACTTCTCAAACTTCTTTGAATGAGATCAATTTCCAAGGGAATATTTTTCCCAAACCTGTCTTCTCATAAGTTTTATTTTTTCTGCACTTCAGAAATAATACTCTGTAGAAAAGCACTTTTATTCTTTGGATGTAGCCAGAATTTGTAAGTATGTTTGGTAATACATCTTTGACTTTGGAGTTTTTCTCCAACACTTGTATAGACAGACGAGCGTCCAAATCAGAGAATTAAGCAGATTATCTGTCGCCTTCTTTTCTCTTGAGATACTTAGTTTGTTTTAAACTCTGGAAAATAAGTCGTCCCCTAACTTTCACTGTTGGCTGGTTCTGCTTAACACGTGGCCTTCCATACAATGTTAAAACGTCATCTGTTTACTTCTTTAGAGTAGTAAGCATTTTGATGTTCTGGGAAGAGCAGATTTGAATATCTGCCCGTGACTCTGTGTGTTTGTGACCTTTTACCTCCTGAGAGCAGGAGAGGGCTGTGTCACCGCACGGCTATAGACAGTCTGGTAAGACTTGCTGTGAACATACGTTCTCTCTGATGATGTTTGAATATTCTTATGTATTTCAGTCCCTGCTGTGTGCCAAGCACTGTCTCCCAAACAGGGATCGAGAAATAAGACCAAACCAAACTCACTGCCGTCAAGTTGGACCCAACTCATAGCGACCCCTCCTTGGGTTTCCAAGGCGGTATCATTACGGAAGTAGATTGCCCCATCTTTCTTCTGAGGAGTGGCTGGTGGGTTTGAACCACCAGCCTTCTGGTTAACAGTCAGATGCCTTAGGCACTGCGCCACTAGAGCTCCTTTAGTGTGATGTCAGAGCTGAGATTTGAAATGAGGCATAACGTACTTGTTGAAGATCTTGGCAAAAACGTTCCAAGTAGGAGGACGGCGCCCTGACGGCACAGTGGTTCAGCATCCGGCCTCTAACTGAGAAGCTGGCGGCTCAGACCCACCCAGCGGTTCCCTGGGGGAAAGCCCTGGCATCCTGTTCTGTAAAGATGACAGCTTGGAGGTCCACGGGGCAGTTCTTCTCGCATATAGGGTTGCTGTGGAAATCGAGGCAAGGGCGCCTAACAACATCAACAGCGCGGGGAAGAGGAGGAGCGAGAGGAGGGGTCTAGGGCCGGTGTTGCCTTTTGAAAGCTGTGGGAAGCCCTGGGTGGGTTCAGAACAGGACGGGATGGGTTGGGGACCGATCCCCCGGGCTGCTGGCTGTGGTGGCGTGGGAACAGGTTGTGGAAGAGTAGAAGCAAGGAGGCCAGCCAGCCAGGAGGTGTCTGTTGCAGTCCTGGAATGAGAAATGAAGTGATTTCACCTGTTTACAATTACCCACTTTATTGGCTCTGTTACTCTGGGAGAATTAACACACAGTGTAGTGATCTAAAGCATCTCCAAGCCATCTTG